TCCATCCATAGTTATAATCATATTTCATCCCAAATACTCATGTATTTTGCATATATAAATTTTTAGTTTAGCAGCTTGATCCTGGTGAAGGGAGGAGGATGATGGAGGTGCTTCCTCAAAGGTTAAGAGATTGTGGAAGATAAATGGGAGCTCAGGGCATTGGTTTTCTTAGCCTTATCTCACAAATTGTTCTCATCATTCTGGGCAATCGCAGGAAGTATATCCGGTTATTGATTATTTATGTCTGGTGTGTCTATTTGCTGGCAGATTCTGTCGCAACCATGGGCCTTGCGTACTCTTAAATAATCTAGGAGAAATTATAGAATGGTGCTTCTAAATCTTGACCACAAGAGCTTACCATTTTGGGCACCATTTTTCCTGTTGCACTGGGGTGGTCCTGATACTATTACAGCTATTCTTTAGAGTAATGAATTGTATTTAGGCACCTATTTGACTCTTTGTCCAGACAGTATCAGATAATCTTTCTCTTGGCATGGGTGGCTCATCTTTCATTTCTAGCAATACTCATGATTTTGGTTGGGTGCGTTAAGTATGGAGAAGGCCAGCACTTTGGTTGGCTAGCAGTGGCAACTTAGAGACTCTATGCTCACTGACCCTGATCCTGTTCCCAACTATCCCAAATTCATGGAAGAGTTTAGTTTGAAACGAAGAGGGGTTCTCTGTGGAGGCAGAAGAATGAAAGATGCTCAGGTTGAAAATGATGTATCTGCAGCTAGCAAGTCCTCGGCTGATCAACAACATACTTAGAGCCCATGCCTTTTTTCAGAATTCAAGTGTCTATTGCGGATCTCACCTCAGCTTCCAGGATCGCGACAAACAGTCTTTTTTTCCAGAAATTGTCTCATGAAGATGCTTTCAATGTGATTGCTATCGATTAGGTTTCATGTATGATTTACTGTACACCAAAGCAACTGAATTCACACTCGTGGGGTTTTGGTCTCCGCATAATCCACTTCACTCCACCTGCATGGTGTTTCTGATTTTCTTTTTTGCTGACAAGAACAATTATGTCAAGGTAGACCTTTCATACCTTCTCCTTGGCTGTTGGGCAATACTTTTAGAAATATATGCACCTTTTCTCTATTTCTCTCACCCCACCAGTCTATGGTTCAGAAGCATAAGAAATTCAGTCTTAACACCATAATTACCTTTCTGGAACCAGTGTTAACTACCAGGTGGTCTAATTCCATGGGCATATAGTCTTACATGCCTTTGCTCAAGAAATCTGGGCCTAACAAATCCTGAGCGTTTGCATGGATCACTCTGGGAAGAAGTACCGCATAAACTTTAAAGAAGTGCCGAAAATCTGAGAAAGTGATCTTCAAACATCCCCTGAAGAAATGTGATAAGTTTAAGAGACAAATAGCAGAGCCATATACACGATAGGAAATCCCCGCTTCAAAGTACTTGCGAGACTAATCCTAGTCCTTTGATTGGAGCATTAGGAGGTTGAGTTTGACAACATCTTTCTGGCACATTGCAACGAACTTTGCTATTCTGGCACTCAGGGCAAGTTTCAGATATTTCAGATTACACCATCGAAAACTGAGCAAGCTTCTGTCACGTATATGTTGTTTCTCCTTATATGTATCCATCCTTTTTGCCAGTTGGGATTGGCCTTATCAGGTTTCGAGACACTCACTCTGAGGCCAGGAATTTTTTCAAAGACGAAAGTCCATTTTTTCTATAACCCAAATTCACGTCATTGATCAAAGAAGAGAAAAGAATTGAAGCTTGCAGAATGTTACTGAAAGTAAAACTTATGTCCCGCCCAACAAAGTGAAAGGAGACAAAGCAAATCAGTGTTTGATGCTGTGCAGGGTAGCATCAGCACTGAATGAAGAAATTTCAGACACAAAGAGAGATGAAATTGATAGAGATGTTTGGTTGGAGATGTTATTTGCTGCAAGTCAGGGTAGAGGAAGTCAGCATGCTAGCCAGCTGAGACGTGGAGGAGAGCTTCTCTCACTGTAGTGCTTCTTAGGCACATTTTGGTAGGACCGATCAGTTCCAAATAGCTCAAGGCCATGCCAGGGCTAAACTTAATGTGAAATAGTTGCTTATCATATTAGTGATCTGGATTCAAGATGGTATTCAGTTTTGTTGCTGAGAAGCATTTTTTAATTCTATTAATAATTTTAGGAAGACCAATTTTATTTTTAATTTGTCTTCAAACTTGATTCGTAAGTAAAAATGTGAACCATATGTTGGTTAACATATTTAGTCTAGTAATGAGTCCAAGGTAATATACAGTCAATAATCTTTAGTAAGAATCTTGATATATTTAGTCATGATTTATATATTCATCTTTGGATTCTTATATTGGACCAACCCGTTTCATTAATTAGATCAAATAATATTTGACATTTACCGATAGTGTATATGCATAGTCCTAATATTTAAATCAATGCCCTGATTAGATATAAGCACCATATTTTGATAAAAATTAACTTTTGAAATTTAGAAAACTAAATAGGTAATTAAAAATAAAAAATTACATGAAACTCAACTATTTTATAGAAATCACTTTGTGCAATTTGGCTGGTTAACATTAATGGGCTAGACTGCAGTTTGTGTGCTTGTTTGAATTGGAATTTATCCCAACAAGTTGGAGTTTAACAACATCCATCTCCTTTTCTTCTGTCACCCTATTCAGCAAATTTTTCCTTTTCATCTTCTCACCATGTACATGCAATGGTCCTACCGTCATGTCAAACGTCCTGCAAAATTAAGCGAGATTCAGCAGAAAAAGCAAATAGAGAATAAGAAAAATGTTGACTTTTCAACCACATAAGCTTGAAGCTGTCTCCCTACAGGTAAATATTCAAGAAGAAGAAGTACAAGCGACTGTCTAAGTGCCCATGATTTGATTGTTGTATGATAAAGTTAAACCTTTGCTGCTGTCGCTTCGCTTCTCGAAGCTCCTACTCCGCCTCGAAGCCTCCTCCTTTCTGTTACCTTAAATCTTCTGAAGCCATAATGGTAAGTTTTTCATACTTATTGAACTGATATGTTTCCTTGTATGTACATTGAAACTCTTTTTTTTTTTTTTTTGGTTTAAAGGGATCAATTCCAGGTTTTATATTACTCATCTAGAGCCTGACCATGGAATGGGTTGCTGCCAGATGCAACGCTGTTCACTTCTATCAATTATATGTACTTGGCCGTTCTTGAGCTCTTTTGATTTTGAATTAGCAGAACGCTTCTCTCGTGTCACTTATCTATTCATTTATGTTTTAGAAAATTCATTAAGATTATGCTCTGTTACATGCTTTATAATCATGGGAATACTTGAATAGGCTTGTTTAATACTTAAGTATTCTATCATTTGCAGCAATAAAAGCTGTGCAAGTAGATGTTGCTGGAATTGTTGTCTCCAATTTCTCATAAAGATAAAATGCATCTCAAAACTTGGTAAGGCTGTGGACTACACTTGATTTAGTTTAGAAGGTCAAGAAAAATTAGCTTGCTCAGGTTTGATTACGTGGATACTATCCTAATTAATATATCGGGATTAGATCATAAACATTTGAACAAGATTTACATATAGCATTACCCTTAACTTGCAGGTATTTCATGTTGTTGAAGCGAAATTCCTATTCTAATGGCTGGAGTGTGGCGAGAAAGGATGTTTTCAAGGCCTTGGCCCCGGGAGCAAAAACTGTACTTGTAATTCTCCTCCTTAAGTTAACAGCTGGTGCCAAGATTTTAAAATCCAAGAAACACTTATGCTTGAACTGTTAGCTCCAGAAATTTTGTTGCTACTGCAGATTGGAAGGCCTGTTATCCATGGCCTGGCTGCTAAGGGGGAGAACGGGGTGAGAATGAGATGAGTAATCTAAATGCTGAAGAATGAGTCTGAGGTCATAATGGCTCTCCCTGGTTGTCCCACTGTCAAACATATCACCAGGAACCATGTGAGAGCAGAGCGTGAGAGAGTTTAGTCAATGCTCTCATGTTTTTTCTTTTTGTAAATGGGCAAGTAACATTTTGTATGTGGATGGATCAGACCATGAAAAATCATTGAACTGCCAAATTGTTACTACAATCAGTCATTTGAATACTCAGTTTTCTTCTTATTGAACCTTATACTGAATTGCTCATGTCAATTCATTGTATTACAGACAAAGCCAGGGCAGCTGGATAAACTGCACTGTGAAAAGGTAACAAAAGCATATCACCATGTAGTGCTTCAAGCTTCAACCCTCACCTTGTAAGGCAGAAACAAGAAAGAGCAATAAAATCCCTGTTTCTGCAGCCAAGTAACAGCCTCCATATGTATCAACAATTACTGGTTTTGAGTAGTAACCATTCCTGGGTTTTCTTCATTCTAATATACTTTATGGGTTCTCACAATTTTTTTGGCAAACCTCGGCGGTAAGAGGATAATTTTATTAATTGAAAAAAAAAGAGGATGACACTTGGTCAAGGGGGGACGTAATGAGCCTTACCCTTCAAAATAGACTAAATACAACAACAATAACAACAGAATGCAAATGCATGAATTACATAAAAAAGAAAAAAAAAAAAAAAATTATATACAGAAGGCAAACCTCAAGCATCATTCAATAGACTTTTCTAAAACTTGACAACTGAAGTCCTTTATTAACAGCTGAATCTCCAACTGCATTACCTTCACGATAAATGAGTGCAGTGAAAGAGCATCGAGCCACATAAGACAATAAAATCCACAAATCCTCTCCCTCAAATGCTTGTATAATATATACATCAGCCTCTGCTGGCTTTAATTCTTCAAGAAATCCATGACATGTTGAACTTGTTTCGCTGCATCTGTCTGAATCATAATCTGAAACTTCGTCTGATACAGGAACATTTCTTCCACTAGAGCTATATGGCATTGCAGAAAAGAAGAATCTGAGTTATAAATAAAACAGAATGAAAATGAGTTTTGCAACTAAGATCTATCTAGAACAAGAGAAGCACGAGAAAGTACCTGCGGTTTATTGAAGGTTGTTTTTTCATGCTAGGGATCCTGTGCCTGTTCCCTCTTTTTCTATTTCTATTTCTATAGCTTCATCTAGAAGAGTGCACGAGTTGATCTTCAATTCAACAGCTCGTATGTAGCTTGGAAGTTTCTTTAACTTGGGGCAGAATTCAATTTTCAAAGAAGAAAGACATGGCATGATTTCTTGTGTCTTCTCTGAAATCCCATCATTCCACTCTTCCCATTCCTTCATTTTCTGAAATTTTAGTTTCTTCAATTTGGGGAAGGCGCTAGTCGATGATGATAACGTTGTGCCATTATTTTCTATTCCCAGAAATTCATTACCTACAGTTTTCACACTCCTCATACCTCGTATGGTGAGGGATTCAAGACATGGTAATTTCCCTAAACAAGGCAACTGCTTAAGATTCATGCAACGCCCTAGCGACATCTTTCGCAGTTTACTTAAGGACGTTATCCATGTGGACATAGTGACACCTTCGTAGTAAACTATCTTTAATCTCTCTAAACTTAAAGGTGGTTCCAAGTATTCAAGAGCTTTGAACTCACCTTCTTTATTCAACCTCTCAGTATCTTCATAATTTTTGAAGCTCAGACGCAGTCCCAGAAGGTTTTCCTTTTTTTTGAGTTCTGCCTTTCCATCTTTAAAAATTTCTTTCACATTTCCAATCATCATTATACTAAGAGACCCTTGGAGGTGAGTCAAAAATTTCAGACATTCGAGGACACTTGCTTCAGCAACATGATAATCATCACTTACAATGAATTCGCTCAATGTTCGAAGACGAGTTAATCTCTCAATTCCTTTAGGTATGTAAGTTAGTGAAGTCTCATTGTTCACTAAATGCCTTAAGTTGACTAATTTTCCAATCCCTTGTGGCAATTTTTTGAGATTGGTGCATCGACTGAGCTCTAAGGTTTGCAAGTTATATAACTCACACAATGTTTCTGGCAATTCTTCTATCTTTTTATTACCAGACAAATTAAAATACCTCAAATGCACCAACTTTTTAATTCGTCTTGGAACTCTATTTATTAGCTTATACCAAACGTTGTCATGGTTTCTCAAATCCAATGTCCTCAAACATGTAAACTTATCAAATAATTTGCCTAGATTTACATCAATCATATAATGACCACTAGTCTCAATCACAAGGCTACGTAATTTTATCTGCCTATAAAGGGACCTAGGAAATGAGACCCCATTTTCATACATTATCATTAAATGTTGAAAATTTTTATCAGAGTAATGATCTTCAGATTCAACGGAACCAGGAATCTTTATAACAGAACATTCCTCTGCAAGAGACACAGCAAAATCATGCACTATATTATGTATCTTGAACTTTATTATATGACCATCACCATCATTTTCTGGAAAATCATAAAAAAAGGAGTGCATTTTTAAATGTTCAAAATACTTTTCTCCAATGACTTCCATATCTTCTCTTCCGTCTACCTTAAGATAATTTTGAGCCATCCATAACTTGATTAATCGATCTTTCTCTATCTCATAATTTTTCGGAAAGATAGCACAATGTATCAAGCATTTCCTCAACATGGAAGGCAAATTATAGTAGCTCAATGATAGAGGTAGTCTTTCTACAGATTCTTCCTTATTCAACATGCTCAAGACATCTTTCCACTCTTTAATCGTTTTTTTAAAGCCCAAGAGGCCTCTTAAAATATTTACATTAATCGGCAAGCCCATACAGTACTTTCTTATGATTTCTGTACCAATTCCTTCGAAATTTTCTCCATCTGGAGTCTGGTTATCAATTACTGAATTTTGCTTAAGCAATAACAGACAATCATCTTCCGACAGCTGACGTAACATGAACTTTTCTGTGTTGTGCAACTTTAACATATCTGTGACATCCTCACATGTGGTTATTAAAATTACGCTTCCTTTAGAACCAGAATCAAGAGAGGTAATCAAATCTTGCCAATAAATTGCTGATTCTTTACCTTCATTTCTCATATCATCTAAGACAAGAAGAAAATTCTTTCCTTCTTCTACAAATTGACTTATGTGATTTAACACAGTTTCCAATTCAGTTAATCTTGATTTAGCCCCTCTTAGAGATTCTAGGATTGTTTTGGCAACTTTTAACTTATCTAAAGGATGAGACACCGATACCCATATTCTTTTCTCGAATGGCATGGTTTTGACGGTGTCATCATTAAACACTCGTTGAGCGAAGATTGTCTTACCAATTCCTGTTGGCCCTTCTATAAGAATAACAGAGATGGTTGATTCTGAAGAATTTGGACTAGTACCCTGATTCTTACAAAACATATCTATTTTTCCTACAATTTCTTTTATCTCCTCATCTCTTCCATATACTTTTGGTTCTATTTTATTATCTTCCTTCCCCTGATTTCCTTTATCTACCATATCAACAATATTTTTAGGTCTTTCTAAAGTTTCTCTGTCGCCCTGCTTCATGTTGAGGCTATTAATAACATTTCCTAGTGTTTTGCTCAAACTTTTTATCTTGAAACCTATCTTACATCGCAGAAAAACACGTCTATAATGATGCAGATATGAAGAGTTATTGAAGTTACATACCTGCATTCCCAGGAAAGGCTTCAAAGAATTCTGATCAGCTTCCTGGATCTGTAATTTTCCAGCCGCAGTGTTCCACTTATCCAATGCATCTTCTACATCATACAACGTGCCTTTAAGTTTGTTGAACTCCTCGCCAACAGCATCGTCTTTCTTACTCGCTACCTTGAATTCAGCATCAGCAACGAGATTTTGAATGGCGAGCAAATTTTTGATAAATTTGAAGACTTCAACACCAGTGACAGATTGGACCCCTTCTTCTGTTTCTTGATGAAGGATCGAAGTCAATTGGCTGATGAATGTTGAATCAACCATTTCAGCCATACTCAGATATTGGTTAAGTTTTGGTAATTGCTTACAGAAATTAAGACGAGAAAGTGGAATATCATTTGGTGTACTTATATACATTCAGATATACTATACTTCCCATCCAAGCGAATTAAAGTTTTGCTTTGGTACTAGTTAAAGTATAATATTATTTGTTTCTCTCCAAGCAATTCCCACATTTTTTTATTTTTTATTTCAAGGTTCCGGATACCCTAACGATTTTTGGGGAACCAGAACCGGTTAGTTCCTTGGAAAACGAACGAAACCGGAGCCAAAACAGACTAATTCTAATTAATTCTTTGATTCTTGGAACTAGAACCTGAAATGCAGGTTTTGGTTCCTAACCCGGGTATCCTGTAAAATAAATTACCTTAAAATTTAGTCCAAAGTGACTTACATATCCTCTAATATCTAAGCAATACTTGAATTCAATCAATTCATCACAATTCACACTAAATTTCTCAATCAAAACTAAAACACAAACGAAGTTTATTATCCAAAAATGCTTGAATTAATTTGGGAATTAAATTTTAGTGAACTTTATTATCAAAAAATACAAAAATTATATAATATTATAATTACTAGAGTGAAAATGAAGTTTTTAAATTTGTCCATAAGTTAAATTAACATTACTAAGTGAATTTGTGACAAAAGAATAAAATTAAATATTAATATGTTTATGAATATTCAATTGAACACTTACCTTTCTTAATTTACCATAACTCATGAGTCATGAGTTGTCATACACTCATACTATATGTAATGTTATAATTAATTAAATTTTTAATCATTTAATTAAGTAATAAGTAATGTAATAATGGAGTAATGTTTATTAATTTATCATATATAATTAATTAATTAATTACTAATTTGCTATAGATATACTTAGAAGTTAGAACTTGATAATTAAAGTAAATAACTAAATATTATTCAATCAAATATACTATTTTATTCAAAAATATTCTTTTAATTGGATCCTAATTCCAATTATACACTTAATTAATCAAATCTTTAATATTATAATATATATTTAAAAAAACATTTTAAAAATTATATATATAATTTTTATTATTTAATATAATCTACACCAACCAAGTGGGGGTCTCCATAGTCCACACACGTAACCCACGTGTCTTAATCCCATTTTATAATTTTTATATGTAAAATTACATAGACCCCCAATTCTTTACTAATATTCTGTTGTAGTCCAGGTTCCAAGACAGGTATTTGCCCTCGGTTCCAAGCAGGTTCCATCTAGTGTACCCCTAACGATTCCAAGTAGGTTCCATCCAGGGTACCCACCATCAGTTCCCATCCCAAGTTCTGGTTCTGGTTCCTACACATGTAGGAACCGAAACTGCACAATGTCGGGTCCAAAAAATTAGAACTGGAACCTACTCGCACAATGTCGGTTCTGATTCGGTTCCGGTTCCATTTCTACCCGCTACCCATGCTCACCTTTATCAAGGATTTGATGTTATGCCCATTATTCTCCAAAATCTCAAAGTTTATTTTTATGGATTATGAAAGGTTTTTCATACTAGTAATTATCTTTTGTTATATACATGAAATGAGTCAACATGCATATGGTCATGAAGAAATTTCCCAATATGGAGTTACAAAATGAGGTTAAGGTCCAAGCTGCTTCACGCTTGCACTTCATCACATACAAATCATAAAGCGAAAGCATGCAAGGGATCTGATACAAAGAGTAGAAGACAAGAAAATTAGGGGAATAAACAAAAGAAAAAGAATAAAAACTTTAAAAGATGTTAGGGGAAAAAATGGGTTGATTGCTCTTGGGAGAAGAAAACATTTATGCAGAGAATAATCATCTTTATTGCTTCATATAGTATTAGTTTCCTTTGATTTGTACGACCTTACTTTTATGTAAGCTTTAGTTTATTTTGAACAAGAATTAGATGTTTTTAACTTATTTTCAAGCAACAACAAGCATGCTTTACTTAATACTCAAGCAAGAATTAAAATTTCGCCGGCTATATATGTGGCTGCCCTTTGTATATGAATAAACTATCTAGTGCTACTTGCAGAAGCAGCATCGTCCATTAGTGTTGCTCCCAAGTATGTATAATTTACTTCTTTATTTGCTTCTTGTTTGACTAATTTACAGCATTTACTTTTCTGATATTTTGTAACACTCCGCTGTTTGAGACATTGGGAAAAGAGGACAGCAATGGGAATATTAAATTTTCTTCAAGCTGGCTGAGAAAAGTGCGGAAAAAATACGATGTGCGATTTACTGTTATTCTTAGCCTTGTTCTCCAAGTAGTATTGATCATTTTGGGTAACGCAGGAAGTATGATTACAATGTTTGGAGAAAATTTTTTGTGTGGTGTGCCTATCTAGCAGCAGACTCCGTGGCAACTGTTGCCCTTGGTGTACTCTCAAATAACCTTGGAGATTTTTCTGGTGGAGCAGCTGAAGTTTTAGATGCCGCTATTTAACTAACTGCATTCTGGGCACCATTTCTCCTTCTACATTTGGGTGGCCCCGACGCCGTTACTNAAACCAAGACCCTTTTTCTTTCATTTTCGTGCTAATTTATACCTCTTTCACTTAAGGACCAAGCCCTAGCAAGCCAAAACGCGTCGTTTTATTTGTCACATCTAACGTAGTTTCGCTGCGGCGAAGCTTTTTCCTTATCGCAGAGAGAATCTTTTGGGCCAAATTTGAGCATGAAAGAGTTTGAATCTGAAAAAGTGTTAAACATATGAATTGTAGTCCTTTAAATTATATTTCTACTCGTTCAAGAATCAGCACAATCTGAGGTTAAAGCTCAAGTTATGGTAGAAATATTAAAGCACGTCCAAAGACGTTTTCTTCAGTTTCCAATATACTGTTTACGACTTCAAGCCAAGTTTTCACCCTTGTCCAGTCAGAATTAGCAAAAACCCAAAACATTAAAGTTGTAGCTCTGCTTCTTTTCCAAAGCTTCTAAAATCAGGTCATTCTGAGTTTCCAAGCTCAAGTTACGTAATTTATGCTCAAAACTGTCATTCATGCTCAAAATCATCGTTTAGGCCTGCAAAGACAAATTAATAGAATTAGGTAGCAATTATGGCCGAAATTGTATGAGAAGTATCCTAAATCCTATCAAAATTCAATGCAAAATCATAGGGAAAAATAGAATTATCATTTACAACAACCACAAATCCACCAAAAATATTTTACACAAATTTAGAGCTTAATTACAACTCTAACAAAAATAAAATACATAAAGGTTTATAAAAAGATGGATTGCAATCACTTCAGGTTCGCATGTAAAAAGGAAGTTGGGAATTGGGGAAGAAAAACTTCAATATAAAAAAGATAAAACCTAACTTTTTAATTTTTTAATTTTTTAACGTTTAACTTTTTTTTTACCTTTTAAAAAAACTTTTCAATTTTTTTTTTTAAAGTTGAGGGCAGGCCTAGGCCTACCCTCAAGGGGCCTGGGTCCGCCCCTGGTTGTAAGCATAACATTACTCTTATAAGAATATTTACTTAACTTATTTTATAGTTTATTTTAGAATAAATAGACAATATTGATTCAATTATAATCAATTCAATAACAATTGAATTATAATCAATTTAATAACAATTGAATTCACTAAATTATCTCCTTGAGTCTCTTTCTTCTATCTTTCACTCTTCACTGCTCATAATTCCAACAATATATAACCATTTCAGGATATGTTATGAAAATTTTCAGATTATGAAATGCTCTTTCTAATCAATTTCAAACTAATGTGCATATATTTTAACTTAATTTCAATCGGAGTTAATGAAAATTTCCTATGTTATTTTTCAATCTCAAATTCAACTAGTATCATAATAATTAGCATATATAGCATAAAAATTACCGTACACCCTAAATTCAAAGATCATTTATAATAGATAATTTTTTTTTCTTTCAATTTCTTACTTTATTTTGTGCTTCACTCTCATAATTCTTTTTAATCAATTTTATGAAAAATAAATAATTACTAAATTTATTTATTTAAGACTATTTTAAATATAAATGGGATTTGTCTAGATAGTTATATAATTCTAAAAATTAGGGTATATGTAAAAATTGAATTTGATAAAATAAAAGAATTGAACAAATAACATCACATACAAGGGCTGGTTGTGGGTTATATGAGATTACTCTAGTAATGTTATCTTATATTACTAACATTACTAATATAAGATTTTGTTAATCTTCCAAAACCAATAATAATCATTGTTGGTTATATAGCTGGTAATCTGAATACCCTAGCCACCCAAGAGTACTGTTGACCGTTGGCCACCACCACTGATCGCCGCCAACAATCACCGGAATGGTGAATGACTAGCCGAATCTGGCTGGTCATTTGCAGATCTGGTCATTCTGGAAAAGGCCATATTGACTCACGAACGACCAGATCCGAGCAGTCGTGCGCCGTTATGCCGACTACCGGTCGCAACTAGGGTGTTTTTTAATTGTACATATCAAAAAAGGAATCTAATTTAGGGTTTGTTATTTTACGATTTTAGGAAAAAGTTTAGAAAGCTCTCTTCCCTCTGTCGACTACAACTTGTCGTTCGTCGATCTCTGGTGCCATTCTCTCTCGTTCTTAGACCTCCAATGCTATTCTCTCCCGTTAGTCGAATCTTCGATGCCTCTTTGTTATTGGGCGTATAGTATTATTCTCAGTTCTTCCTCCCTAATTCTATCGAGACTTTACTTTGCACTTCAACAGGTATGCCACGATTTCTTTTTGCTTTATATTTGTTTTTCAGTTTTTGATTTCTTGGCTAGATTTCTTGGCGTAATGATTGTGAATTTGTGAGAGAGAGATTTCACTGTATTTTCGTATTCTATTTCCTGTTGTCTTTGAACTAGATGAAATACCCATGCGTTGTGCAGGTATATTTATTATATATTTTTATATTATTATTGTTTTTTTTTTTTTTGTGTTTTAAATATATATTTTCTATATTAAAGTTTATTTTACATTGAATTGATAATTAAG